TTATTGCTTGCCAAGATTCTGGGATAACGACTCCAAGGCCTGAGGATATTCCAGATTTTAGAATGTCTTTCCTATAACTAAACTAAATGGGAAGTGCAACTAAACTTCATATTGCAATTATTGCATTTCTCATTGCAATATATTCTTCTGGATGATGGGTTTTCCTTGAACAAGTAAGTATGCAATAAAAGGAGGCGGGATGGCCGAACAGGCTAATGTATGTGCACAGCACCACACGTCTGGCAACCCGGATCAATGATTAATTTGATTAAAATAAGTATGAGCTCGCATCCTGATGCCCTTTTAATTCTGGCATTAATTCCCTGCCCTCACTCCATGGCCCAGAAAATCTTGTATAGCCTAAAAGGTAAGGACAAAAAATAAACAAAGGAAAATAATCTTCAGGTTATCAGGTTGCCAGGCAATGAGTGCATTGCAAACCGATTAGTCCTCTTAATCACTGTAGTCTCCAAAGTAGTCTAGACAGTATTTGGACCCCTAGATATCTCTAGTCTGTCCTATGGAATACTACAATGTATAAATCTAAAAACTGTCTACTTTTTAAATCTCATAACATATTTATGAACTAATTTGGGATTAGAGTTATTAAACTCAAACTTTCTTAGAATAAGAAATAACATAAATTTTGTAAAACTGGAATCCATGCCAATGAGGCTAAAAAGAATTATAAATATTAAATATCTAAACAATAATAGAAAGTATTAATATATATATATATATATTTTTTGTTTTTCTCCAACTATGAAGGAATAATTTTTTTTTTTTTTTGAACAGTGTGTAAGTGACTGTAATAATCTATTTGACTCATAAAAACAAATAAATAACATAAGGGAAATAAGATGTGACCAGTAATATTTATTATTTAACAGCTTATTACTTTAAAGACTACCAAAAAATTAAAAATAAATAGTCCTTTAGAAGACTAGAAACATATTGAATTTGGTTAATAAATACACACTATGTTCACAAAATTAAATAATATCTGCATGATTTAATGTTGAGCTGTTTTTAAATATTTTCCATAGTTATCTTCACTCATTAATTTTTCCAATTCTTCAGGCTTTGTAAGTGCGACCTTGAACAGCCAACCTGAAATAAATAGTTTTAGTTAATATAGCCATTTTTTTGTATGAGAGAGAGAGAGAAAGAGAGAGAAGAATTGCAAAAGTAAAATGGTTGAAATTAAAAATAGCAAAGGTAATCCCTTATCATAGGTTAACAAAAAAAAATTCCAAAGAAAAATGGAAAATTAATCTAATAAGACGTCTTCTATGATACTGGTTGGTGGTATGATAAATCTAAATCTAGAAGGAGATAATCTAGTGGTTGAAAAAAAATTAAATACAAGTAACTACTTATGAAATGACATTTTGTCACATGTTAAGTGTTAGCATTCAGTAAATAGTTACCATTAATTGATGTAATCTTATAGACCGATACCCGGATCATATGCTTCTTAATAAGAAATATTTGGTGTATATAAAACATGTTTCAATGTAGGACAACTGAGATGTTTATTTTATTATAATAATAATAATATCAGTTAATATATAATATATAATAACATATTAATATATAATATATAATAATCAGTTAAATGCAATAGCGTCTGGTGCCTTACTGAATCTAATTCACCCGCTTTCCTGTGCATCCAAACAGTATTGTAAGGATAGTCATGGATGCATATCATATTAAACAAAGAATATAATCAATGGTTGTAAAATCAGGAATATTAATTGTTATCAGGAATATTAAACAAAGTTCCATTAAAATAAATTGATTTGATGATTGTGACTATACATATACAATTTTAAAAGTTATCTTTGCTAGGGACCTAAGATAAAATTATAACAATAAATCATGATATTGATATGGTAGCCTTTACTTTCATATTATCAAGTCTGTAAATATTGGTTATTTGAAGATTTATCAACTGATCTGGCTTTTCTGAAAGATCGACTAACAATTTGGAGATGCTAAAAGTATTATAACAAGATTTATCATGAGAAAAGTACTAATACTTTTTGCATTAAGTATTAATACATAATTTTTTAGAAAACGAATAGGTATATCTAAATTATAATAACATTGATACTTTTAAAAATATATATGGAAAAACAGAGAACATTAATGCATTTTAAACCATTAGTTGCAGATTTATTTTAGTTACAATAATAAAGTAAGAAAGCCCAAATTAATTATTTAACATAAAAAGAGGAAATGATAAGGGAGCTATTGTCTGGTAGTATGACATCACAAATTGATTATAGAGGTTATCTTAAAATGAAAAAAAAAAATTAATTCTTGAATCATGAGTATAGAAATACTTCATAAAAAAATATTATTACCAAATTAATTTGGTCTATAAAGAATGATTAGAGAAAAATAATTAGGATTAAAACCAACATCAGTATGTGAACATACCAGATAATATTTTCTAAAAAAAAAACAAAATAATTGATACTCTTAGGAATTTAGATACCTAAAATAATAAAAATAAACAAAGTATATCTATTTTTAAAAAAACTAACTCAGCTCTATAAAGAATGTTTTAAAGTAATAAACCATAGTAGACTGAAAAAAGAATAATTCAAAACAAAATACAAAAGGGGAAAACATGAGACACGAAAAGGCGTCAATTTGTGTTTCAAATGTTAATTATTTATGGACGGAGTTGTCAATATGAATGAAGGGAAACCAAACTTTGATGCAATTAGCAATAAAATTGAGAATTGCAAATTGTTCTGATGGAAGAAAATAAAATAATTTAATCGGGTAATTAATCAAAACATTGTCATGTCAGGATAATATTTTATCCTTTATCAATTCATTTCAACTGATCCAGGACTGGTTACTCGAAACTTCAGGAAAAATTCATAGTTTGTAAGGTCCATTCCTTGATGCTTTGGTAGTTCAAAAATAATTTTTGTAAATTTTTATTGTTTCCAGTTTACAGATGGTAGTAGTATTTGTTAGCTGTTTAAGTCAACAAAGTGCATGATGTTCAGAACATTCTGATCAACAAATCAAAGCTCTTTTTATTTACTTAATATTTTTCTATTTCTAGTTTGTCAAAAGATAATAACATTTAATTTTATTATGTTCATTATTCCTAGATTTTGGTGTCTTGAGGTTTTCATTTTTATATAAAAATGAAATTTTATTTATAAAAATGAAAACATTTTATTTTTTCAGACTAATTTCTTAAAGAAGAAACAATAACTCAACCACTGTTTTGTTTTTTACTTATAAACATATAAATCAACTTATTATATACAATATCAGCAGTGAATAACTTACCTTCACAAAATTATGCTCTCATGAAAATTGATTTTTTTACTTTTTTTTCCAACAGCACTATTGCCATTGGAGTCTTGGAGACAATACAAGACAACAAAGACAAAAATTTAACACATAAAACATCTCAATTAACAGAACTAATACATAGAAGGACAGTCTGTTTTTCTAATTCTAACCTCTAACCAAGAAAGTTTCTGGACCGATTTACAGGTTTTTTGTTGTTTCTTTTAAAGCAAAATTGATTCTGTTGTATCGTGAAGGTCTTAAACTATCATAATTCTTCATCGAACCAGTGGGATGAAAATTAAAAATATTTTAAATGTTTAGTGAGCTTTTCGAGGAAACATACTTAATGATGTGTGATCCTAATTTTATATTTTTGTTGTAATTTGTAAATTAATTGGTGTGTTATTAAAAATGGCATCGAGAAAACAAAATATTTCTCATAGCATTAGACAATGGTCTAATTGTACTTACATGCATACAAGATGTACTTACATGCATGAAATAGGCATATATAATCAAAATTTAACATGGGCAAAACTGCAGAGTACAGTTGGCCATATAGAATCAAAAAATAATTATCTTGGTTTAATAAATTTAATGTTTACGTCTACTCTTATAGCAACTTTACTATTCTCCACAATTTATAATTAAAGCACTTTTTTCTAACAATATTTTATACTTTCATTGGAATGAATTCTAAAGTTGAAATTCACAATGAAGTTTAATTTTATGGAGAACATTAATGTGTCGAACTTTCAAATTTTGTCTGATTTCCCAAAACAGAAACAGAAGCTCAGAAATTGAAAAATATAAAAAAAAAATTTTTTCATGTGTGCATAATTATGAAAGGATAACTTACTTCCCTCATGACACTAGCGGATCCAGAATTTTATTTTTGGGAGGACTTCAGCCAGAGATCTTTTTTTAAATTTACGACCTTAATTACTTTGGAAAAAAAAAAGAAACTACCAATATGAGATGGTATTTAAGTGATTTTTTAAGTCCTATTAAATGTAATTACACGAACAATAATAGTTTTTGAGATAGTTTTTTAATATTTTTTTCATAAGACATAGTAATATTTTACCATTTTGGGGAGGGAGGTAAGGGAGGGCTTCAGCCTGAAAGCCCTCCCTCTTCCCCGTAGATCTGCAAATGCCTCATGTTCACATAAAAAATAATAAAACATTGTTCTGAGAAACTAACCTATTACATTATTTTGTATCCATTGCCATATGAATGTTATCTAGTGCCCACCCACTTTCCCCACAATTATAATTCTTAAATGTATATTCTGGCTAAAAAAATATAGTTATCAGCTGAGAATACGTACTGCATTAACATGGTGGCTAACCAATGATTTTGCTGGGCAAGAAAAAGAAACAGATACAGAACCATATTCTTATTTTCAACCATACGTGTACCCCGACTCATATCCACATTACGATTCATTAATTTCTGCTGATGGTTTCTGATAATAATTGCTTAATTATTTACAAGCAATTGTCAAATATCTATGTTCTCATCTCATATTGATAAAACTGTAGTTATAAGTTATGATGAAATCATAACACAATAAGGTTTATTTATCCAACAAAATATTATAGATGGAGTTCTAAAATTTTGAAATCTACAGAAACTCAAAAATACATGTTCTGAAACTTATCACATACCTTTTTCATAACATGACTCATTAATAAGTCCTGGCCTTTCTTCTACTTCACTATTTTTTTCCGTTACTTTGCCTGATACAGGCGAATAAAGTTCAGAAGCTGCTTTAACACTTTCTAAAGCCCCAACTTCATCTGTAATAAAAATTAATTAATTAATAAAGTTTACTAAAACAAATATGTGAATAAATAAATATCACTACACTGAAAGAGCCTTACCATTCTGGTTGACATCTGATCCTACTTCTGGTAATTGGGCATAAACTATATCACCAAGAGATTCCTGAATTAAATTGATTGCTTGATGAGTCTTTAATTTGGGTGAAATAAAAACAATAATTTAAAACATTTTTGATACCTGAGCGTGTTTGGATATGCCAATGATCCCAATATTCCCACTGACCTGGACCCATTCATGCTTATCACTGTAATATCGATCTGAAAATTCAACATTTCAAATTTGTCCTAATCTACAATGCTTAATAGCTTTTTGTCTTAGAAAATGTCTTACTTTTAATGCTGGTGCAGTAGTTCCTGCTGTAACTCTGATTGCAGAGCCTAATGGATTTGACAGTATGACAAGAAAACGCTAAAATTTGATGAAAGGCAGGTTGAACACTACCTAAATACTTCAGTGATTGCGCCATTTGGTCTGAAACTATTCTGGTGCCGTTTAAAAGCTGAAACTAAAGACTATCTCAATTTGCGTAATAGTATTTTATCTCGGACCCCAATGGAGTAAAGGAATTATCAAATCAATCTTATCTTCGGAGGTCTTATTCAAATGTTATCCTTCGATTTGTATTTCACTTTTGGGGCAAAGGAAATATCAATGTTAAACAAATGAATGATTAGTAGCCAAATTTTAAGCCAAGATGGTCCAGGTTTGTATAGTAAATTCAGAACCTTTAGTTGAGCTACACCATACCAAAGAGCAATATCACATTCAAATCAAGTTTAGTTTGCAAGTTGAGGAAAAAAAATCATTACAAAAGCTACTGTTCTGTATTTCCCAAAGATGATCGATGGGATATCTTTTATATTAAAACATTCAAATTTCGTCAGAATAATTATATAACTTTTATATAATATCGCTACAAGCTAATGATTTATTTAGTTTCGTTACGTATTAACCTGATGTAATATGTAGCATTGATCCATGCCTTTGCATTCATTGACAATTTCACACAAGCATCCATTTTTTTAAAATATAATAAGGCATAGTGATAAATATGGTTCAATATCTACAATTAAAACCTTTAAACATCCATCGATACCGGTCAAAACGCAGACATATATGGTCAGAACTATCACCATTCTTCAAAATTTGTGTCATTCAACTCCACAAACTTTACCCATCAATTCAGCAATCATTAAATTGTTTTACATTCGTTAATTACCTTCTGCAACCGTTTCAATAGTCACGATGTTGTTAATTGTCTATAGCCTTATTTTTGTTTACTTTTGAGCTTTAAATATTCATTCATACAACAAATTCCCTGACATCAACGCCGTTTGAAGTGTTAACCATATTTAACTTTTACAAATTTAATAACAGTTTTGTTCCCACGGAATTTCAAGCTGTATTTAGACATTCTACAAACTATGGGAAACACAGTTACTTAACTTGAATAACAGCGACAGTATTGCTAAACAGAACTATTTATTTTATTTCTCTTGATACCGACAGCAGATGGAAAATATCAAAAACAAGAAACAAAAATACTACCGTAGTGTAAACAAAAATAACCATTTATATATTTGTTTTTCCCATAGTTTCTGAAATGTATAATTAAGATTTATTACCACATATGAATAACAATTTTATAAGTGAAGGATTACTATGTAATCAGATTGCGAGAGCATCAAAATGGTTATCTTCTAAATATAATTGCTAACGATAAAACTTGATTATGATGTGTTTGTAACAATTGAAGGCGCTATAAGTTAGTAGCTTTTTTAGATATTTAAAGGTTTTATGCCTATTTTTGTCATTTCATTTAATCTCCAGTAAAAAAATCAAGTAGTGTGGGGTAAATGCGTAATCGTTAGTATCCTAATCCTGAAACGATTTATGAGCGACCCTTTAAGTGGCATGATCTCTAAATACAAATCAGCCACATGAGTTTCCTACGATGCTTCAGAAGAGACCATTTTAATTGATACCACTAATTGCTTCGGAGTAAAAACGAGTATGGTTTATGACTAGTCTTCTTTTCTTATCAAACATAGTCAACTAAACGCTGATGGTGGTGTGCATCCAGCACATGTGCCGTTCAATGTTCTTCCCTAACAAGTTGACTCAATTCTACTAATAAGGACCAGTCAGCAGGGCCCCCTCCAATTTGATATTAATATTAATTATTAACATGATGATTATAATAACACTACCCTGCAACAAATGTTTTTTGCGTGTATCTTCGATGATAAGTGTTTTTCTTGACTAATTTTGGTGTGAAACTCAAATTTTCTTTCAGAATCCTTATATTAGCTTCTGTTCTACAGAAACGTACACCCAGTATGGAATACAAAAAATTAAGTTATTAGAAGTTGCACGATCATTTTTTAGGCTTTAAAATTGCTTTATTATTACAACAAATTAAAACTTCTCTCGGCAAGAACAGCATTGTTGTAAAGTTTATTTAGAACGTTTCTTCTTCGATTGACGATTGTATTAACGCTCTGGCCAATCCCTCTCAACGTTTCGACAATAGTTTGCGAGCATTGAAGAATCTAACCGACCTTAACATCTTCGTTCCATCAAGGACATATCTTGGTGAAATCGCTCACCATGTCCGTCACTTACAGATCCACAATTTTGGGGAGAGAAGTACAAATGAGAGTAATGTACGGATGTATCCGTATTATGAAAACATAATAGGCGACCATCAAACAGGATTTAGGAGAGGAAGGAGTATGCTAAATCAGATATTCATCCTAAAACAAGTACCTGAAAAACGATGGGAAGTAGATCAGGACGTACACGCATTATTTGACGACTTCAAAGGAGTCTATGACTCCGTGGACAGAAACTGTGTCTGCAAGATCATGACCGAGCTGAGTGTTCCCGGGAAGTTAGTGAGGTTGACGAAGGCGTGTACAAATGGTCCTAAATGTAGTTTACTAATACAAGGAGAAGTATCTGAACCTTTGAAGTTCGAACGGGTTTGAGGCAGGGAGATGAACTCTCGCCGATGCTGTTCAACTTAGCACTAGAGAAAGTAATGAGAACAACATCACGCGAAGATGGAGGGGTGCACGTTGGAATGAAACACAAAGTCCTAGCATATGCGGATGATATAGCTGTTCTCGGAAGTAATCAAGGGGATATTGAGAGACTCGCTCGGACTCTGTTAAAAGAAGCAGAACAAATCGGACTACAAGTCAATGTAGATAAAACAAAATACATGATAGTTAGCAGAACGATCCACCCTAATAACATGATCTGCGTGGACTCTAAATCATTCCCGAAAGTAGACTGATTCAAATACTTTGGCTCCACAGTAACCTCAATAAATTATCAACTAACCAGCGAATAACAAGTGAACAAGCGAAGAGACCTTCCTTCTCTCTTTCAAGGGTACTGAAATCCAGAAAAATCTCCAGAAATCTATAAATAAGGGTGTACGCCGCAGTTTTTAAGCCAGTTCTGCTGCAAGATTGTGAAACATGAGCTCTAACCGACACACCAGAAGCCAGAATTGAGAGATTCGAAAGAAACGTTCTACGTAGGGTAACAGGACTTATATGGGACCAGAACCTTGACACTTGGAGGAGAAGGAACAATCAAGAACTGCTGAAAGAAACGGGTCAGTCAATATCTCATGACATGAAGGTAAGGAGGTTAAGATGGGCGGGGCATGTAGCTCGTAGCAATCCATCAGGACACCTTTACACAACAATGAAAGCCAGAGTTGTAGGCAAGAGACCACGTGGGAGGCCAAAAACTAGATGGATAGATAGGATAAACAAAGATACGGCTGTGCTTCATGCCGCAAACTGGAAAGCAGAAGCCCAAGATAGGCAGAGGTGGAGAAGGCTGGTTCAGGTGGCCAAAGATCTACAAGGTCTGTAGAGCCAACCGAAAAAAAAATTATATACACTGACAGGCAAAAAATTCCACCCACTTGATTTTTTCTTGTTTTCATCTAAAAAATATTTCTACTTTGGATTGGTCATGGTATTTGTAGATAATACTTAGTATTTATTGAATTATATAATCTTTTTTACCTTTAATAATCAAAATGTGATTGAGTAAGAAAGATTGGAGAAAAAAAAGTTGAAAAACGAACCTTTATTATTCTAAAAGAAATTAATTACATCATTGTTTAGTAGCGCGTGTTTCCTCCTCTTGCCTCCACTACTTCATGAAGACGCCTCGACATACTTTCCACCAATCGGGAAATTTCCCTTTGCTGGAGGATAGCCCATTCCTCCTGAACAGCCCTTTCAAGGTCCTGCAGTGTATCAGGAAGTGTTGCACGCGCTCTTATTCGTCTTCCGAGGTTATCCCATAAGTGCTCAATGGGATTCAAATCTGGAGAACGTGCTGGCCAGGCTAAAACCTCAATATTGTTCTGTTGAAGGAACATCTGCACTATGCGGGCGACATGTGGGCGTGCATTAGAATAGAACGATCGCCGATTTCGTTGAGGATAGGCAACACATGAGGTTCCAAAATCTCATCTACATAGCGAATAGCCGTCAAAGACCCTGCACGAACAACAACCAATTCTGTGCTGCGCTCCATTGAAATCCCAGCCCTCACCATTAAGAAACCACGTTGGAAAGGTTGGCTCTCGGAGAAATTACAGGCTGCATATCTTTCGTTTTTTCTTCTCCACACCCTTTCACGCCCGTCTGGAGATCGAAGAGCGAATTTTGACTCATCTGTAAAAAGTACAGCACTCCATTCGTCCATAGTCCAATGGCTGTGTTCTCGACCAAAAGCCAGCCGTGTTACCCTGTGAGTTCTGGTCAACTCTGGTCCTCTTAGTGGACGAAAAGCCATTAATCCATACTCATCATTTAATCTTATCCCACGTTCAGAAATTTGATTTCAAGCTGATGAATCGCTTGAACAACGGTAAGGTGCCGGTTTCGTAAAATTCTCAAAGTCAAAAACCGGTCATCCCGTGGTTCTGTTACCCTAGGCCGTCCAGAACCGGGCCTTCTATTGTAAGTACAAGTTTCCCGAAAACGCCTGACGGCGTCTCGTAAAGTTTCATATGGTTCGTAAAGTTCACATCATTTCTCTCCGAGATCAAATCCCTCATCTCCCTAATTACAAACGTCATTGTTAATCTTATCCCACCGCCAAGAATTCGTTAAATGTCCTCAACAAAACCCCTTTCCATTTTTCTCTGGAATGCGAATGGTGTTCGGAACCACATAAACGAACTAACTTTTTTTTCTACAGGACAATAACATTGACATAGCCCTAATAACTGAGACCCGACTAACTAACAAACGACAGTTCAACATACCTCATTACAAGATTTACCGAACTGACCACCCTGATGGAACAGCACATGGAGGCACTGCCGTCATCATCCATCAATCCCTCTCCCATCACTTTTATCCTTTACCAGTACCTAATTTCCTACAAACCACAGCAGTAGTAATCCAAATCTCAGTTTTTCCTGTCACAGTTGTCGCAGCATAATCTCCACCTAAAATAACAGTACTGCATCTAATTTCATTTCCTTTCTTAATTCCTTAGGACACCATTTCCTTATATGTGCAGACCTCGCGGCCAAACATTGTTGTCTGCACTTAAGTCCCACAATAGTAACATTCTTTCCCCTGATACCCCTACATACTGGCCAACCGATGCTAACCGTAATCCTAACCTCCTTGACTTCATCATTCACAAAGGTCTAGGGCAGCTAAACTCCTCAGATTTACGGCTCGATGGTCTTTTCTCAGACCACAGTTCGGTAAGCCTAAATCTTTCAGCATTCCCCGATTATCCCCTCCTTCACTCATCAGAG